TCAGGGCATTGATGAACTTGGATAGGAAAAAATATTACGTCTTTATTTTCATTAATCTTTGCTTGAAATTAACATTTCTTTCCATTATTAATGTAGGCAACAAACCACTAGTATTAGCAGTATCTGTGACTTCAGCACCTGTAGAACTCAGTTAATTTCATATTGTTTGTGTAGATGAGGATATCTTGAAATATTACTTGTGCTCATCACCTCTTTTTTTTCTTTTTTTTTTTTTTTGAGGAAGATTAGCCCTGAGCTAACTGCTGCCAGTCCTCCTCTTTTTTCCGAGGAAGCCTGGCCCTGAGCTAACATCCGTGCCCATCTTCCTCCACTTTATATGTGGTACTTCTACCACAGCATGGCTTGCCAAGTGATGCCATGTCTGCACCGGGGATCCGAACCGGTGAACCCCCGGCCGCCAAAGGGAACGTGGGAACTTAACTGCTGCGCCACTGGGCCGGCCCCTCATCACCTCTTTAAAATCACAGTACTTATTCAATTTGCTATTACATGTTATTGTTTAGTGCGTTGATAAAGAAGCATATTTATTACTATGGCACAGATTTGCTTTTTAGTTTTGATAACTGCATTTCAGTATAATTGGTCTCCTTTGATTTCCTGTGTATGTTATACATTTAAATCCATAGGCTTCTCTAAAATTCCAAAGAGGTCCATGGATCAAAGAAAAAGATTAAGAATCCCTGATCTAGAAGGTCCCTGTGCTCCGTCTCCCTGCAGTCCTCTCTTTTTTTCTCCCTCCTGCCTGAAGCCAATGCCCTCACTTGTCCCCTTGGTTTTCTTGTTCCTGGCCACATCCCCTGGGCCCTTACTGTGTTATTATCCTCATCTTGTTTCTTTATGCTATTCTTTAATGTTATATATCTAATAAAATACATAGTTTAGTATATTCTCATAGTGTAAAATAAAAAGGTAATCTCTGGCCCCAAATTCCGCTTCCCTGGATAAGCCTATGGGCTTGTGTACAAGTAGGAAAAATTTTATTTTTAATGCTGCTCTAGTCTGTCCTGGGTCCCTTTGCTTCCCCCTTCTTAATTGTTGCTTGTTTTTTTGAAGGCTTAGATCAGCTGTTACTTGTAAAGCCACAGCCTTTTGTTCCACAGACTTTGTGCTTAATTATATTTTAGCAGTTTTCACGTTAGATTCTAAAAGATTTGCTTCATGTCTATAATACTCTCCCACACCTGGGAACTCCTGTAGGAAAAGGCAGGGATTGTGTCTTAGTCAAATAGGAATCCCCCGCTCATCCACACTCAGTGACTAGCACACTGTAGGTACTCAGTAGATGCTAAAAAAGGAATAAATGGTCTTTTAGTCACCAGGTGGGTACCCACCGTGACTTATACTCCATTGTGTATAGACTGGTCCACATATAACTCATAGTATATGGTGAGAAAATATTTTTTAAAGTAGTTGAAAAGATGTCAGAATATTAATAATTGATCAAAACAGAACAATATAGAAATGTTTTCTTAATCTAGAGTTTCAGTAAGAAAAAGCATATTTAATTGAGAGAGAAAATGAGTAGCTGAGGATTCTTGTTAAGGCTTTTCTGGAAAAACAAGGGTTTCTGATGTTAAATCTGATAATTTTTAAATTTCATCTAACTATGTCATTTTGTAGTTTTAATAAATTTAAATTTATAAATTCATAGTATATCACTAGCATTTTACTTATTTCACTACTATTCATTAAAATTCTCAGACAACTCCAAGTGGTTTTTTCAGAGTCATTATTGACTGAGAGGTGGAAGAGGAAAAATTGGGGAGCAGAGTACATACCCTATTTCCGGAGCCTGGGGCTGGGGGAGAAAGTGGTGCGTTGGTTCAGACCTTTCTTTCCGGTCACCACCAGGTGGCACCACTGGCCCAGAATGACTCACTTTCTGCCCAGAATCAAAAGAAGGGGAAGGTGTTAAGACCGCACCTGCTATAGGGTAGCATAGGGGGATGGGTGGGGGCAGGGCGGGGCGGTGGTGGATGGCAGCAGATACATTGTACCATTTTTCCCTCTAGTCTAGAGATTTTTGTAAATTGGATGTTTATAAGTCAGGGTATGAAGCACTTGAAGACTTTAAATCTTTATTTCTCATTTGATAAGTTTTGTTTTTCTTTTTTCTTTCTATACCTGTAGTTCCTTCAAAAACAGGTAACGGTTTTTTAACAGTCGCTTTGTATTCTTGCATCTTGCTTTTCTGATACTTTTGTTTCTTACCATAGAGGATAATGGAAAATTAATATATTCTGACTTAACGGCATTGGGAAAATCTACATACAGATTCCCGCTATTGCAATTAGAGTATAGCAGTTTATTTTCTTTGCAGAAATCCTGGCTACAACATTGTACTATTTAATACTAAAAATGTTTTTTCCAAAATCCAAACATGGCTGTTAATAAAATAGCATTTTCAGAATTGATGGTAGTGGATATTGGTGACAGTGTAGAATGAAATATCCAGGTCTTGCTTCCTTCTAGCTAACGATACAATGTTGACCTGAAATACAGAATTTATGACCAGAGTTTTCTCCCAGCATCCTGACACTGTAGCCTCATTTTGTGCTGACACTTCACTTCTGCACATCTTATGTACATCTTTCCCTAAACTCTTTGCTCATCTTTAAAAAGAGACTTTCTTTGGGGGAAATTTTAAAATCAAGGAATATCATTCCTTATTAATAGAAACATAACTTTTGTGTTTTCTCTTTCCCCTATTTCTACCTTGAAAGAAAACCATAATTTTAAGTAACAACATGTAAATAGTTAATTCCTTTATTAGGTTTATATTGTAAACAGAAAATTTAAGATAAAAATGTTGTATTAAAAAGTATACAACCTAAATTGTGAGCAAAAGAGTAAAATTTGGTTCAGTGAAGTTTTAGATGCTTGCTTTTCTACATTCACTCCTATTCAGAGATCCTTTTTGATTTTCTTTAGAATAATACTGATAAAAGTATGTTTACACTGTTTTTCTTTTATATTTCAATCTTTCAATTTTAGGACAGGTTGGCTCAGTCCCTAATCTTTGCTAAATACTTTGGCGTACACATACATAGACCCTTCAATGAGAAAAAGTCCATTTATGTGGTTCTGTAAAAAAAATCTTGCTGCTTTGACTTTTAATTTCTTGAGTAAAAAGAGTGTTCTCCCTAATGCTGAGTTTCCACTGAAGGAAATACATTATTCGCTTAAATACATACTTTTCAAAAACTAGTGTCATTAAAACATCAACAGGATCTTAAATATAAATTAATAATCCTGTTGTGTCTTGCAGAAGATAACGTAACTGATTTGAAATTTTCCTGTAGTCTCATTTTCTGTTCTAATTTTGTGAGAATTAAAGTAGAGAATTTCAGCATCCTAACGTAAGCTACTATTTGATGTTTTCGTAGGGTATTTCAAATTCTTGAAAGTGAACATGACAGAATTAAGTTTTACCAAGAATTTGTGTAACTTTCAGATGATATAGAGTAGAGCTTGACTCAGGCGAGCGTCATAGAAAGCCAAGTTTTTAGGGCCGTCAGCTTCTAGCTGAAGATTGCATTGTGAAAATGTCGTCAGTCTCTTAGAACCTCTTAGAGAACTTTTCCAAAATGCAGTCATCTTGCAGTGAATGCTCCATCCCATCCCTAGCTGAGGCCTGCTGTCCTGGAGATCCCCCTCGGTACGCTCTTGGCTCTTATAATTGCTAACACTGGGAGCTGTGCAGCTGGTAGAGCTGGCAGCTAGGCCCATGGGTGTAATTATGCTTTTAATCCTTGGTGTACGTGCATACACACCCACACCCACTCATCTACCCCTAGTCTCGGGTGAGAGGAGGTAAGAGCTAGCTAGGGTTGTGGTGCCATGCCTAAATTTGCTGGCTCAAATTTCTTGTTTTGGCATCACCTTGCTCACTAGGGAGCCGATGACAGTTATAGAAGCAGTGCCTAATCAAAAATCCTTCTGGAATTGTCTCTTTTGAAGGAGGCACAGCTATTAGTTCTTCCCGTCCTCTTCCTTCCAGGTGGCAGCTTGCAGTAAGCACAAGGGCTGAATGACTAGGAGTCAGTACTGTCTAGCAGAGCCAGATCAGCAGAAGTATCACTCCCTAGCCCTATGCTAGCTAGGTGACACCTTATGGGTCCCACCATTTAAATGCAAGCCTGTGTCTCCAAAGCATTTCGTAAACACTATCATTGCCCAAGCGAACCTTTATTTAGCTGGGCCCTGACTCCTAACTAGAGAAAAATTCCGTTTGCTGGATAGCAGCTATGATGGTTCTTGTTAGCTGAACATACTGATGCCACATTTCTCTTACTAGCTACTGCTCCTCAGTAACATGAGCAGAGAGGACACAATAAGAGAGGAAGTATTGATAGGAAGTCCAGGTAGGCCTGCCACCTGAACCTTCTGGGGAGAGGTAACCCTGCAGGGCCTGAACTTTGTAACAGAGTGGCTTGAGGGAAAAATGGGTTCTTTGGAGGGATGGGTCACTTAGAGTGCTTCAGTTACTAATGGCAAGAGTATCATAGAATACCGACCCGTGCATATAGACATGGATTCGGAAAGTTAAAAAATCTGCATATGTTTGGCTGCAGGAGCTCTGAGGGTATATCTAATTAGTAGGTCTGTTAAACAAAAGAGATCTTGTGCTAGGTGGATTGATAGAAATTTTCTGGATCACTTCTATAACACAAAGTAATTATTTTTCATGTAATTTAATGATGTATGAATAAAACGTATTTCATGTGGCTTAAAATTATATGGGAAAAACATACTTTCACTAATAATCATCTATGATGCCATTTACTGAGTTAAGTTTTTTGAAGATTATAGTTTTAGAAGAAGCTTCACACATCAGAAAGCATACTGTTAATGAATGTTATCCTTTGTTTATCAGAAATTCACTTTCCATCATTATTAGCACACGTTGATAATTTATGTGTGTTCGTGTAGCCCATTTTCCAGTTGTATGGTCTTTCAACCAAAACCGTTCTTTGCAGATGCTTTTACTGACTCTGCTATCAGTGCTAAAGTGAATGGTGAACACAAGGAGAAGGACCTGGAGCCCTGGGATGCCGGGGAACTCACCACCAGTGAGGAACTGGAGGCTTTGGAAAATGATGTCGTAAGTGAAATCTTTTTGATTAATGTTAGGCTTTGGTCTTCTGATGTGGTATGACATCCTATCACATGGTTTTAATTTTAAGTATGTTGTTGTTGTGGTGAATATTTTAAAGCAGCAGTTTTATTCTGTAAATAGAGACTTCCCCCCAGGCAATAAATACGGAAAAATGCTTCTTTGGGATGCTTATGAATTATTTCTGTGTTTTTACAGTAAGTCATAATAAGCAACTTACAAATTTAAATTGGAATCCCTGGGAAACTGGAAACCCACAAAACTGCCGTTATGTTTTGCTTTGAATGCTCTACAGAATAAGGCAGCCCAAGGAAAGTAGTGTCTTAATTGTTGACTTTACCTAGAGGTGAGGTCAGAGTACGACTTTTAGGCTTCTTGTCTGAGGGAGAGGTACTCATTAAGATATATAGTTAGGTTACGTTAGAATTAAAACAGTAAGTAAATTTCTTGGTCTTAATTAGGATCATTCTCCACAAAAATCTGGTAAAAAGCCTCTTGGCATATATTATTTTTACTTTTCTCATAATGCATCATCCGTAAATCAAATGCTTAATAAAGACTCTGTCTTGGGGCTGGCCCCGTTGCCAAATGGTTAAGTTTGTGCACTCCACTTCGGCGGCACAGGGTTTTGCCAGTTCTGATCCTGGGCGCGCACATGGCATCACTCATCAGGCCATGCTGACACAGCATCCCATGTGTCACCACTAGAAAGATCCACAACTAAAATATACAACTATATACTGGAGGGATTTGGGGAGAAAAAGCAGAAAAAAAAAGACTCTGGGATTCTGTAAATCATGTCTCTAAAGTGTAGAGATATAAAGCAAAGTCTCTTGCCAAAATGAGTGTTTAGGTAACAAAATTTGGATTGAATGAAGCATCTTCCGTTGAATATTACAGAGAAGTCTTTATAACAAATCTGTGTTTAATGTTTAAGTCATTGTCCAGTTATAAAACTGGAAATACATAGGCCACACATCATTATTAATTTTCAGACTTTAAAGAATCATGTATAACCTAAGGCAAAGGTCCTCAGGTCTGTGCAGTGTGTCTCCTGTGTGGAGGATGTGGAGGAGTAGGCACACCTACTGAAAGTGAGGTGGGTAAATTGATGGATGCCTTCTAGAGAGCATTCTGGCAATGTTTGTCACAATTTAAAACACACGTATGCTTTGGTCCGGCAGTTCTACCTCTGCAAATTTATTTTTGCTCTAATCTAGCCATTAGACATGCAGTTATCTATAAGAGTGTTTTTCACAGCATTGTTTCTTTTTTGTTTTTGAGGAAAATTAGGCCTGAGCTAACATCTGCTGCCAGTACTCCTTTTTTTTTTTTCTTTGCTGAGGAAGACTGGCTCTGAGCTAACATCCATGCCTGTCTTCCTCTACTTTGTATGTGAGATGCCTGCCACAGCGTGGCCTGATAAGCGACGTGTAGGTCCACACCTGGGATCCAAACTGGCGAACCCTGGGCCGCTGAAGTGGAACATGCAAACTTCACTGCTGAGCCATCAGGCCAGCCCCACAAAGCATTGTTCCTAATAGTGAAAAATTGGAAACATCCTAACTGTTCATCAGTAGGATGTGGGTTAAGTAGATTTATTGTACCTCCATTCAGTTGAAATACTACGTGTCCACTAAGAAAAAATGGTATTCTGATATGGAAAGATATTCAAGATTTATTAAAAGAAAAAGCAAGTTGCAAAACAAGAAGATCCTGTTTGAATTATAAAAGAAGAGAGCTGATCATACTGATCATATTCCTAAATATGCATAGAGAATGTCTGGAATTGTGCTCAAGAAGTTATTAATAGTGGTTATCTATGCACACTGGGATTGGAAAACTTGCTTTTTACTGGATGTCTTTTTGCACAGTTTAGATTTTTTTACGTGGAGCATATACTACTTAAGTAATTTTAAAGCCTCCATAGGCAACTGATTTCCTGCCCATGTGTGTTAGGCCTAAGGACTTGCTTTAGTGGTGGAATTACATTATATTCTTATTTGGAGTAGCACAGAAGGGCCCAGGGTTGATGGGTGACCTCAGAGGCAAGCTTTGTGTTGAAATTGCCGTCAACACTGCTTGGAGGACGCTGTTTCCTCTCTTCTGAGATGGATAATGATTACGCGCTGTATTTTGCCCCCTTCTACGAGTCAGGCTTTAAAAGAGGAGTTGAAACACTAGAGAGAGAAGTGATTACCCAGATACTAATATTTATCAGCGAAGATTCTTCCAGCCTCTGCTATTCGTTGATTCTTACAGATTAAAGAATGCAGTCTAGCTTTAGAGAGTGGTGGTTTTCTCACAGAATCGTAGTTACCTACACTGAGGTTACAGGTTAGGGCACCAAGGCGAAGAAGGCCGTTGCTGAGGACCTACAACTTCTAACGGCAAAACCTGTTCTAAAACCCAGCTCTTGTGACTTTGTCGTGATTGCCTGTTCACTGTCTCCTGCTGCTTCCCTTTGAGCTTGCCCAGGAGAAAGGGGAGGATGGCAGGGATCTGGTACCATGCTCCTACCTTGAAATAGTGATACAGCAGGGAAAGCTTCAGCTTCTTCCCTCTTTCCCCCAAAACACTAGAAATATTTTTGGCTGTCAGAAAGTACTCCTTGTCTTGCACAGACCTGATGATCAGTCAACTCAAGAAGATTTTAGGTAAATACTCTATAGAAAAATGGCTATTAGGGAGTAGGGAAAGGTGAGAACCCTGACCTGAATGCTCGTATTTTATGAAGTAACTAAAATGCCCTAAACTTTTGCTTAATAACCTCTGAAGTAATGGTTTTGTATAGTTATTTACCAACTTGTAGGGGCTGATATGTAGAAAAAAAGCTTTTCCTTAAAACATTTTTAAAGAAAGTTTTTTCCTTTTTTTTTTTTAATTTGCTAGATTTTGCTAGTATATTATGGTAGATATTGTTAATGTAGATACTGATTATAACTGAATTAAAGAAGACAAATACTTTGTCATTTTGAAAAATGAGCTTCATTTTCTTCTAGTCTAATGGATGGGATCCCAATGATATGTTTCGGTATAATGAAGAAAATTATGGTGTAGTGTCTACATATGATAGCAGTTTATCATCATATACGTAAGTTTAAAACTTTGCTTTCATTTTAGTGCATTTGTCTTTGATTTTCATCAACTAAAATTATGATGTTGGATAAATGTTTCTGTTGGGTTTTAAGTTAAACAATCATTTGACAGAATTATCCTGTTACTGCCTAGGCTGATAAATTCCTATTAAAACAGACAGTAAATGTAGTTTACTTATATCCTAATGTGTTATGCTCAAATTTTGTTTTTGTTTTGCTTTTAAGCTGTAAAAACTCTAAATTTGCAAGTGTGGAGGTTATGGGGGAATAGTCAATTTAGCCAGTTTTGGAAATGTTATATTCCTCTAGGGAAAAGGTAACAGGAAAAAATTCAAATTTTGATTTATAAATAAATAGATCACTGTAACTCTCTTACTGTTTTACTAGCTTTTCAAACTCTAAACTCCCAGTTGATTGTGACAGATATATAAACTCTCACTTTAAAATACTCACTGTGCTCTTTCTTTTCCTCATGTTTCAGGGTGCCCTTAGAAAGAGATAACTCAGAAGAATTTTTAAAACGAGAAGCAAGGGCAAACCAGTTAGCAGAAGAAATTGAATCAAGTGCCCAGTACAAAGCCCGAGTGGCCCTGGAAAATGATGATAGGAGTGAAGAAGAAAAATACACTGCAGTTCAGAGAAATTCCAGTGAACGTGAGGGCCACAGCATAAACACTAGGTATTTAAAGGAAATCATGATGCAGTATTTTGGATACACAACTCAAGGTCTGTGTGAGAAGGTGTATTATTATTATTATATTTCATCTTCCTTTAACATAGTTTAGGTAGAGAATGCAAATGGAACTGGTTTAAGATTCTGTTAGAGAAAAGATTATAGTAATCTTGGAAAATATTTTTTAATTGTCAGCTTTGTGGAGCCAAGTGTTGGATATACAGTGATGAGCAAGCCAAGGTCTGGAAGAGCTCATAAAAAAAATAACGATGCAGTAGGGGGATGCATACAACATAGTAACAGTTCAATATGATTTGCTAGATTAGAGGTGTCTTCAAAGTACTAGGAACATCCAGAGTGAGGAGGAACTAGCATAACTTGTGGGATCAGAGAAAGCCTCACAGAGGAGGTGATGTTTTGTTATAAGATAGATCTGTCTGCCACTCAAAGAGAAGTAAGAGAGAGAAACTTCTTGCGTGGTGAAAAGACATGTGAAAGATCTGGCCAGCTCAAGAAAAGGCTAGTTGTTTCATATGTCTGGAATATAGGGTGTGTGTTGAGGGTACAGTGGTGGCAGCTGGTGACAGGAATAGAGGTAGTGAAGGACTGCAGGTCCTGTTAAAGGGCACCTTGTAGGCAGGGGATGGTATGAACGAGCTCTGGGACATTGAGAGCTGGCTAAATGTGGAGACCAGCTAGTGTATTGAAATAGTTCAAGTATGAGAACTTGGCAACCAGCTAGACCAGAGCTGGTGATAGAAAGGTTAGAAAAACCAGGGGTGACCCTGAGGTTTATTTGGTAACTAAGCAGATTTATAGTTGTACTGGTAATGGAGAGAGAAAACATGGAGCATGTTTGAGGGGAGATACACTGAGTCCATTTGTACAGTTTATTGTATTTGAGGGGCTCACCGGTCTTTCATTCATTTATTCGTAAACATATTGAGAAACACCTACTACATACCTGGTAGGGTAAGATAGACTTCTTGTCTTCAAGGCACTCACAGCTTAGAGTCTGGTGATTTGAACGAAAGTGTTTAGTGGGAGATATTGAGACTGTGGGACTGGCAGTGGGGATTTGGGATTCATCAGCATTGCTGATATTGAAGCCATTGAAAACCAGCGAACAGCCGGAGAGAGAAGAAGAGATCTCGGAGAAAACAAAGTAGAGAAAGCCAAGAAAGAAGAAAGTTTCAAGAAGACAGACCGTGATTGGATAGAATCAGCCATCAAGAGGCCAAGTAGGATGAGAATGAACACACAGCTGTTAAACTTTGTGCTTAGGAGGAGAATCTGAGAGGAAGGAAAGGCCAGAGGCTAGAGCTCAGGGTAAGATGAAAGAATAGGGGTGTCTGGGAGTGAGGCAGTTTGTTTAGTGTGGAACCTTTTTACAGCAAGCATTCCCTTCTGCCAAAATTACTTTTAGATATGTTTCATTGGCCTGGTACCTTTTAGGATAAAATGATTTAGAGGATCTCTCATTTTCAGGGAAAATAAATATATTCCTCCTGGACAAAGAAATAGAGAAGTCATATCCTGGGGAAGTGGGAGACAGAATTCACCGCGTATGGGCCAGCCTGGATCGGGCTCCATGCCATCAAGATCCACCTCTCACACTTCAGATTTCAACCCGAATTCTGGTTCAGACCAAAGAGTAGTTAACGGAGGCAAGTATTTTGACCAAATTTGTCAGTGTCCTCAATCAAATACATAGTTTTCTAAATATTTACAAATTTACGTAGTTGGTAAGAAAATGCACACCTTTAACCATTTCTGTGGAGTAGTTTTCATTTCAAAATTATTTAAAGTTTGCCTTTGTGGATATCAAATTAGTAAAATTAGTGAAAGTGAATATAAGTTATTGGCATATGCAGTATTTAGCATGATGAAATACATGAGTATTAAGATAAAGTGCTAAATTTAACCAAAGACATTCATTTGGCCAAAGGACACTCCACACATAAAGAAATTGGAAACTTTGGGTACGTTCTCAATTTTAAAAACACTGGATGATAAAATGATTTAGGCATAGTTTATATGGAAAATCCTAATCTGTTTGAAACAGTTAGTAGTTAGTATACATTTCATTTTCATTAGCTGTTTGTTTTTATGTGTTTATATTCTGCTTATTTCAAGAAAGGATTTGAGGTAACTTTCAGTGTAAGACATGACCAAGAGTCACGTGAAGAAGGTGAAGAAAGAAGTGTGCTTAAAAAAACAATAAAACAGGTCTTAGTGTAAGGGTGGATATTGTAGTTTAGCTAAAGTAAAGTAAAAAGAAACTTGCATCTTTAGTAGAAAGATATTTTTCTCCTTTACCTCTGAATCTAAGTTGAATATAGTTGATAGGTCATGGATCTTTCATACAAGTCAGAGATACTGGACAGCAGTACTGTAGACAGTATGAAATACAGTAATTAATAATAGTGATAGTATGTTATTAGCTCAGGGGAACAAGTGAGCCTTCAATTTTAGGTATTCAAGTTTGGAAAGTTAGAAAAATAGAGAACACTAAGTTTCCAATTTCATTTGTTTTCATTGAGTCTTTCTCCAGAATTCCTCTCCAAATGAACACTCTTGAGTATTTTCTATACTTAGTATTGGGGGTGAAATTTCTTTGCTCACTGAGTAAAGAATTGTAGTTGTTTGTGAACAGAACTTTCAAAGTAAAAACCTGAAGGGGGCTGGGAAATGTATGATACTCAAGTGTGTGGAACCCTATGGAGAGGAGACCTGGACTATTTCTTAAGATTAAGGTAAGTGATCTGTCCTGTTATATGTTAGCTGTCTTTTGACCTGCGCATATCCATCAGTGTCAGTTTATTTGGTGATGACTGCTCTGTAGTTGCACTGTTTATTAAGCAGTCTCTTGAATAAGTGTTTAACTGCATAAATTATTTAGAAGGCCCCCCTTCTTTTTCTGGTTTGATAAGATTAAAACGTGTTTGGAAAAGGCAATGAATATTAACCTTTGTCACTTCTGTGACTCTAGAAAATAGTAGAAGTAATTTTTTTTCTACTTAAATAGACTTGCTTGAACCTTACGTTCAAGTATAAACTAGATGAAAATCACACATGGTCATAAGAAACCAGCATTTTTAATGAGATATAATAGCTGCTGCTTATTTTCATTACGTTTCAAAAGCTAAAACTAATATAGTGAATAATCTTGTTCCTGAGTTTTGTGATTTATTGTGTGAAATTATCTAGTATATGTTATACTCCTTTTAAAAGTTGGTTACTGAGAAACAGTTATAGAAGCAGGATTAATAGGCAAAGTCTTAACTGTCTTCTTCAATAGTATGTGTAGATCCTAATTAACCCTTTGGGAACGTGTATTCATTTAAACAGACTTAATTTTAAGGAGGTTCAAGTAAAATGTGAATTTATGTCAGTTAAGTTATGCTAAAACTTATCACAAATCAAATGACTGTCCTCAAAGGGTTAAAATGTACAAGAAATCATTTTTGTCATTTTACTTTTTTTTCTGTTTACTTTTTTCCCTCATTTTTTTCTTTAGTTTTTATACTTTCCTTCATATCATTTGTTCTGTCAGGTGTTCCCTGGCCATCGCCTTGCCCATCTCCTTCCTCTCGCCCACCTTCTCGCTACCAGTCAGGTCCCAACTCTCTTCCACCTCGGGCAGCCACCCCTACACGGCCGCCCTCCAGGCCCCCCTCGCGGCCATCCAGACCCCCGTCTCACCCCTCTGCTCATGGTTCTCCAGCTCCTGTCTCTACTATGCCTAAACGCATGTCTTCAGAAGGTACAATACCACAATTTGTTCATGTTTTTGTTTGTCTTTGTTTAACTCCTATGTGAGTTTATAATTACAAAATAGTTTCCTCTTCATTATTTAATAACCTATAATTTCCGTGTTTTAACTTTAGTTTATTAAAACTATTTCTATTAACCTTTTGTTCATTAGAGAGAAATTTGATAAATGCTGTGTGAAGCTATGAACTACCCTGAACTGTAAGGATGGGGTTTATCTCTGCCTGGTAATGATGCTCCTTTACAGCCCCAGAAGGTCTGCCCAGGGCTGCCTCTCCCAGTTTACACTGCGCACAGTGATGAATGCAGACAGGGAGCTTCCTTCACCCAGTCTTGCAGTTATTTGTAGAGCCTATCGCTTACCTTGGCCAAGGTTCTAGGGAGCCTACGTGTTGGCCATAGGCAGGAGTGATGGTTTAGGGGTCCTTTTTGAGAGGGACATTCCGTGTAGCTACCTTTGTGTGTCTACCCTTAGATTACAATATAGAGTTTGCTTTTACGTTTGGGGAATTTAAAGCAATTAGCCTTGCAATATTTTATAGTGAAAATCTGGTTTAATTTAGAAGAAGTCCTTGATCTAAGATAAAATTGTTAATAAAAACCACGTATGACTTTGAATCTTTAGGGGTTTTTTTTGGTGTTGCCCATGTCAAAAAAAAAGACTAAAGCCTCGTAATTCTCATTCTGTATTTGATTCTAAATCCACCATTGCTACGTATCAAATGCATGGACATGTTGTAGAAAGGTCACATTGTAATTTACATGCAGTGCATAAATTAAAAACCTGCTTTCTGAAGGATAATTTTCTTTTGACATTATTTCACAGTATGTGTTAAAATTTTAATCTGATTTGTTCATTAAAGTTGCAGTTGATATAGTTTATGTTGAGACTAATACAGCTGTCTGACATAAGCTGCTTCCCTGGACAGAACTGTGTCGGCTGCTTTTTAATAAATTGTTGCCATCCAGGCAGGGAGGTCTCGTGATCTTGACTAAAGCTGCTGCCCTTGAACAGCACAGTGCCCTGATTCTCAAGGTGACGTCCTTACTCACAAGTGCCTGTAATGGGGGCCGCTAAATGAAAAGTTAAATTCTGTGGAAGCATTTGTTGTGCTCTGTTGTCTGAGTAAGTGATGTTTAATATCATGAGAATATGTTAGATAACACACAACTCATTAGTGAGTGTGAACGCCTTCACTACAGTAAGATGGAAGGACGGACTGCACGCAGAATGCATCAGGGATGCTACGCGATTCAGTTTTTCTTCTTAGCCAATTTGAATTAAAATAGTTTTCTAGTCATGTCGTTAGGTGACATTGAAGCATTTTTTAAGTGTGAACTTCAAAATTAAAACTACTAAATATAGTGGTTTTCTGTGTTTCATACAGTCAAGTTTACTTTGTTTCCGTATTTTATATATTATCAAAAAGAATGAATTTTTTAAAGTTACGGTTTGATTTCGTTGAGCTATGCCAACCTATGTTCTTGGTCTTTTTCTATAAAGTGATGTAAAAAAATATGTATAAATAATTCAGATACCCAATTCTTAAATCATTCTTTGATATAAATCATATCTCCAGTTGAAAACTATAAAATATAACATTAATATTGTTTTTAAGATTGTGTCCATGATTAAATTCCTACTGAGGACACAAATGAATTTGACATTCTAAAGAGTTTGACAGCACGGTGAGAGTGAGGAGTCTCGGCTTGGACAAGAAGAGCGGGTTTTGCTCAGTTAGCACTGGCAGCCTTCTCTGGTGAGAGCCGTTCCCTTCACTGTTTCCACCTGACTGTCTTGTTTAAACTGTAGTACAGTAGACTTCTTTGGAGATAGAAATCACTAATGGGGTAATAGAATTAATGATGTAGAAATTTGACAATTCATACAGTGCAAATTTTTTCCCCAAATGTCGGTCACTTTAGTCTTTCAGGTCATGCCTTAACAGTAGAATTTTCAGCTCACGACCTGTTAAGTCTGGGAAACTGCTTACAAGTGAGGACTGTGTTAAGTCATAGGTTGTAAAATTGATCACCGTGGGAAAGAGGTAGATAAACTAAGATTTTAGAGAAATTTAAGAAGGGTATGTACATATATTTCAGTAGTACAAAGAGGAATATAGGGGTTAATAGTTTTTGTTTAAAAATATTTTTTTCCAATTTTAAAAGTAATATATTGTAGAAAATTTGAGGGGAAAAGCTAAAAGTATATGGTAAAATAAAAATCATTCCATCATGTAGCCATAACTTCTATTAACATTTTATTTATATATGCCTACAAATAATGAATATTAAACAAATTTCTAAAATCTTTGAAGAGTTATAACATCTTATTGTTTGATTTCTTACCACCAATTTCATCCTTCCCTTTCTTTAAAATAAAGGGAAATAAAATTTATTTATAAAACGTTGTGGCATTCCACAAAATAGTTCTTGAAGAGTATTGCCAGAAATATCTATGGCGTTTTCCTCTTTTTTTTTTTTTAACCAAGGAGAAACTGGAGAGAGAGAGAGGAGTGTGTGTGTGTGTGTGTGTGTGTGTGTGTGTGTAAATGGAGTGTGTATATTTAGCAGAAAAGTAATACCGATGGACATTGTGACATTTATGTGATGTTCCCTATTCCCTTCTTAGGGCCTCCAAGAATGTCCCCAAAGGCCCAGCGGCACCCTCGAAATCACAGAGTTTCTGCTGGGAGGGGTTCCATTTCCAGTGGCCTAGAATTTGTATCCCATACCCCACCAAGTGAAGCAGCTGCTCCTCCAGCAGCAAGGACCAGTCCTGCGGGGGGCACGTGGTCATCAGTGGTCAGTGGGGGTAGGTAACACTTGGCTTGGAGCATAATGACAGTGTTCCTGTTGTAATTCTACTAAATACAGAAAGGGCTGAGCTTAAGCTCTGTTTGAGGAAGTACAAGTGTATAAAATATAGTGGAGTAACCAGGAATTGAAAAACCTGTAGTATTTTTATTTTGGGCTCCACCACTTATTCACTCTGTGTTAGAGCAAATCGTGTGATCATTCTTAACTTCAGTTTTCTCAATGAGTAAAGTAATTTTTGCCTAGTCTACTTTGTGGACTTGTGATGAGATTCATGAGGTTCATAAGTGTGTATACTTTATAGTTGTACAAAGTACCCCTCACAGACAAGGTAAATACAGTATGTAACACCATTTGGAGGGACCGTATTTCATTTCTTCTTAGTAGCTTTGTTTGGTAATTTGTTCCACAAACATTTGTTTTGGGCTTACAGTACTGTGTGTTTCTATAGCATCTGTATATGGCACTAATTTCTGACTATATTTCCCTTATAAGGAATATCAAACACACATGAGGGACCTAAGTTTTATCTGTGATTAGTATGAGGAATGTGCTGACAGCAGCTGTAAAAGTGTAAAAAAATATACTTTAATGAGATCTTAGAATTAGCTGAGACTGCTTTTTAATGTTTTGCTTCCATAATAATCATGGAGAGTTGCAGCATGTAATAGTTACGCTCTTTGGTCATAATCTATCTTAATCAGTGCATAGGACCTTTAAAAGAAAAAGAATCTTTAAGCTTAAACAAACAAAAATATTCCCAACTCTGTTAAATGTCTTTAGTTGATGTACACTGCTCAGCTTCATGTACATATAATTTTATTATAAGTTCCTTTGCACTTTCTATTTTCTTCTTTGGTCTTCAATTATAAGGAAATAATTAACAAAAAAATAGAATTTCTAAAATCTTATTTCTCCAGTTGTACTGTTAATCATTTGATGTTACTCAGATGATCTGAAAATGAATTTTCAGAGAAACAAGATTACAGAAGTGAAGGGAAAAACTTAGTTGTTAGGGATTCGTGCAGAACACTGTTAGAGGTTTGCTTTGTATGCTAATTAGAAAATGATAGTTGTTGAGTAATAGTTTCCTTCCATGACCTTTGTGACTTAAAAATGTAAAGAACTGCTAAAGTGAAGCAAATTGAACCATTTTCTCCAACCTTTGAATCTGAGCTCTACAAATAGGTTTATAATGGAATATGAAATGCATTAGGTACTTATTTTGAAATCATGTGGAATATGAACCCCTGCTTGGATTATCTTCCCCTTTTGGCTAAATTGGGTCCCTGATTTCCTTAGTTACTGCAGGGTGGATCTTGATGTGGCAAGAAAGAGCATATATGATTGGCTGCAACGTGCTAACAGGTGTTTGAGTTTATTATTTGAAGGAGGAACGAATAAGCCCACTTCTCGGGGCTCTTCCCCTACCCGTTTTATGGAAACAGTCGCACTTTTTAGTAGAGAATGTTCTTTCTCTTAAGAAGTGGCATTTATCCTGCCTTAGAAATCCAGTTTCTGACTTCATTTAAAATACTGCCTTTTAGAATTACTGTATTTAGTTAGGAGAAAAAACTACAGTTTTACTTAGGTATTAGTAATTGCTGTTATTCTTGAGATATTTGTACTCTCAATCACCACCACTACACTTAAGACACTGGAAAACAGCGTGATGGAATAGAGAGTAACCTGGATGGGGTTGGATAAGACTATTTTACCTAGATCTTCAGAGAAGCCTCTTGGAGGAAGTGACACTTGAGCTGAGAATGTAATGGAACTTTTCTCTTTCTTCTAGTTCCAAGATTATCCCCTAAAACTCACAGACCCAGGTCTCCTAGACAGAACAGTATTGGAAATACTCCTACTGGGCCAGTTCTTGCTTCTCCCCAAGCTGGTATTATTCCAGCTGAAGCTGTTGCTATGCCTGTTCCAGCTTCGTCTCCTACGCCTGCCAGTCCTGCATCCAACAGAGCTGTTACCCCATCTATTGAGGGTATGTGAGAAGGGGCTGCTACATCCATAATGTCGTTTGTGAAGTTGAGTGTTAGAGGTTTGACATTATATGAAAGGTGCTATGTTGTTTTACTCATAGGTATGTATTTGACCGGACATTTAAATTTTTATGTAAATGAAGTTGTTTAATACTATTAATTTCTAATATGGTATTCTTGAGTGTCTCTTGTTAAAGGGTTAACTTTCCTGGGTAGTAAATATCAATATAAATAAAATTATTGGTGTTTTGTATGTCTGCAAAGGAGAAAAGCCTCTGTTTAAATGGAAATATTCTTTCCCAAAAATGTAGGAAATCAAAGTTGTTGAATATTCCTAACTTCCATCTAACTTTGAATTAAAAAAAAAAAATTATTTTCTAGCTAAGGATTCCAGACTTCAAGATCAGAGGCAGAACTCTCCTGCAGGGAATAAAGAAAATATGAAGCCCAATGAGACATCACCTGGCTTCTCAAAAGCTGAAAATAAAGGTTAGAGCTTTAAAAAGTCTTCAGGTATAAGTCTAGAAATAGGAAAGAGTATGTCTCATCTCATGCCCAATACAGAATATTTTCAGTCAATACTTTTTCTTAGTACTGTGCTTATTTAAATCCTTAATTTGACAAATGCCAAAATCTGTAATTAATAAATTGAAATTTTTTATTGTTTTGATAATAGAGCTTATTTTCAGTTCTAACATCCCATCCTGAAAGACTTGTAAGTTAAAGATTCGAAATAAATCTGTATCTAACAGTTCTTAATTTTATACAGGTATATCACCAATTGTTTCTGAACATAGAAAACAGATTGATGATTTAAAGAAATTTAAGAATGATTTTAGGGTAAGTGTATATTGACTAATGAATTAGAATTTTTAAAAATAAATATTAAACATTACTAAGAATTTTTATATCATCTATTTACAAAAAATGCAGTATATATACACACCCAGAAACATCAAACTGTATGTGTAGAAAGCTAAACATTCTTAAAGTTGTCTTTGCCTATGCTTTAAGTGGGGTAACTAAAATCATGAGATTTGATAGGTACGATATAGATATCAAATGAAAGAGAATATAATTCTGATGTTTGAAGCCACCATAACATAAGTTATTATTTAATGTTCATTTGATTATTCAGTGAAGAGTGGAGCAAGGCCAAGGCATTAATTATGTGATGTGGCAAGTGGGAGATGTACTGGACCCTGGTGTTCTGAGTTAGTTGCAGATTTACTCTTTGTGCACAAATGTATTGTAGTAGACATCTTTCTATAATATCATTTCTCTATCTTAAGACTTCCTGAATATACTCTAATCTCTCCTGGATGACTATTTCATTCTTTTGCACAATGTTTACTATAGTATACTTTGCCTATCAACGTATATTTTGAGGCCAACTCAAGAAATCATCCTGAAGCTTAGCTTCTTAGAGGGAGAAAATCTGATTGCTGGCCTTTGAAAAACTGATTGGCTTTTTAGATGAATGAATCAATGGCAAAAGGCAACCTTTTCCTAGCCTATGTTCTAGCTTCCTAAAAATTAATGGTTTTTTGCTGATACCTTCATTCTTGACTTATGGGCACCATTCAAAATATAACATATTATTTCATACTTTAGCACGTTTGTCTCTTCAGCTTTAATGCTATTAACAGTTGTGAACTTGTTTTAATTTTTTAAGCTATGGTTAACTCATGGACATGATACAAAGAATAATGACTGAATGCCCAGATTCCTACTTCCCATCTTAATACTCACACACACCAACACAAAGTCCTCCTGTGTACTTGCCCTCCTCAGCTGCATCCTGCTGCCAGAAGGAAGGCTTTCCTTCCTGCCAGGTTCTTCACACTGCATGTGAATAGATCCCTGAGCACTAGATGATACTGTGTTGCAGTCTTCAATTTGATATAAATGCTAGCATATTATAGGTATTCTTGCCTGTTTGCTTTTGTTTCCTCAGCATTATTTTTTACAGTCAATCATTTAGTCCCTTGTTACAGTACAGTTGCAGTGAATTTGTTATGTTATGAAGGAAAGAAATATTTTTACTTCGAAGGATATGAGTTAGTGTATTTTTTGTAACAGTTTTATTGACATCTAATTTACGTATCATGCAATTTAACTATTTAAAATGTACAATTCAGTGGTTTTTAGTATATTCACAGCGTTGTACAACCATCACCACAGTCAATTTTAGCACATTTTCTTAACCCCGAAAAGAAACCCCAAACCCCTTAGCAGTCACTCTTCATTTTTTTCCAATCCCCCTTCCCCCTCCGCCTGGTCCTGGACAACCACTAGTCCGCTTTCTGTCTCTGTGGATTTGCGTCTTCCGGACATTTCTTATGAATGGAATCATACAACATGTGGCCTTTTGTGACTGGCTTCTTCCACTTAGCATGATGTTTTCCAAGTTCATTCATGTTGGAGCATCTATTAGTACTTTATTCCTTATTGTGGATGAGTAATATTCCATTGTATGGGTGTACTGTATTTTATTTATCCATTCATCAGTTGATAACTCTTTGAGTTCCCACTTTTTGACTATTATGAATAATACTGCTATGAACATTAGTGTACAGTTTTTGTGTGGACATATGTTTTCATTTCTCTTGGGCATATACCAAAGAGTGGAATTTCTGGGCCATATGGTAACTCTATCTGTAACCTTTTGAAGAAAACTTCCAGACTATTTGCCAAAGCAGCTATACTGTCTGTACTGTTTTACATTCCCATCAGCAGCATGTGAGGGTTTCTGTTTCTCCACGTCCTCACCATGCTTGTCATTGTCTTTTTGATTATAGTCATCCTTGTGATATCTCATTGTGGGGTTTTTTTTAGTGAAGAAGATGGGCCCTGAGCTAATATCTGTGCCAGTCGTCCTCTATCATGTATGTGGGATACCACCACAGCATGGCTTGACGAGCAGTGTGTAGGTCCGCACCCAGGATCTGAACCCACAAACCCAGGGCCACCAAAGCAGAGCGCAGATTCAACCACTGTGCCACTGGGCCAGCCCCTCATTGTGGTTTTGATTTGCATTTCTGATGGGTAATATGTTGAGCATCTTTTTATGTGTTTATTGGCCACTTGTATATTTCTTTGGAGAAATACCTATTTTTAAAAATTATTTGTCTTTTTGTTATTGAGTTGTAAGAATTCTTTATGTATTCTGTGTATAAGTCTCACATCAGATACACGGTTTGCAAATCTTTTTTCCTGTTCTGTGAGTTGTCTTTTCACTTTCTTGATGTTGACCCTTAACATACAGAAATTTTTAATTTTGAACCAGCCCTGATGGTCTAGTGGTTAAAGTTCAGTGTGCTCTGTTTTGATGGCCCGGGTTTGGTTCCTGGGTGCGGAACCATACCACCTGTCTTTCAGTATCCATGCTATGGCAGTGGCTTGCATAGAAGTAGTGGAAGGACTTACCACTGGGATATATAGCTATGTACTGGGGCTTTGGGGAAGGGGAAAAAAATTTTTTTTAACTTTGATGTAGTCCAGTTTATCTATTTTTTCTTTTGTTGCTTGTTCTTTTGGTATCATATCTAAGAAACTATTGCCTAATCCAGGACCATAAAGATTTGCTCTTACTTTCTTCTAAGAGTTTCATTTAGGGTTTTGATCCATTTTGAGTAATTTTTTCTTCCTTTTTTTGCTGAGGAAGATTTCACCCTGAGCTAGCATCTGTGTCGGTCTTCCTCTATTTTGTATATGGGTTGCCACAACAGCATGGCCACCGATGAGTGGTGTAGGTCTGTGCCTGGGATCTGAACCTGCGAACCTGGGCTGCCAAAGTAGAACATGCCAAACTTAACCACTATGCCACAGGGTGGCCCCTTGAGTAATTATTTTATATAGTGTGAGATGGGGTTCCACATTCATTCTTTTGCATGAGGATATCACTTAACCCAGCACCATCAGTTGAAAAGACGTTGAATTAAATTGTCTTTGTACCCTTGTGGAAAATCAATTGACTGCAAATGTGAGGGTTTATTGCTGGATTCTCATTTCTCCTCTGAAGATCTGTGTGTCTATCCTTTATGCCAGTACCACACTGTCTCGATCAGAGTTAGAGTTAGTGCAGTCATGCGCCGCACAATGACATTCAATCAGTGATGGCCTGTATCTATGATGGTGGTCCTGTAAGATTAGTACCATATAACCTTGGTGTGTAGTAGGCTATACCATCTAAGTTTTGTAAATACACTCTATGATGTTCACACATTGATGTGATTGCCTGACAACGCATTTCTCAGTACATATTCCCGTCGTTAAGCAACGCATGACTGTATTTTAAAAAGCTTGTGACTTCTTCGTTTACTAGAAAACATTTTCGCTCTCATCAGTTTCAGCTGTCTGTAAACCTTCTTTAATACTTGACTCTTAAATTCCAGGTAGTTGCAGCATTAAAACTCTCTCTCTTTAGGACTTCTAGTCTTATTTCTGTTTGAGGCCTGAATAATCAGAAGTATTATTGAAGTCTCTTATGGATAACTTTTTGGTTTGTAAGTGAATACTGGAAAGCAAAGAAATGGCTTTTAAAAATATTTGAAGGTGAGCTTTATAATTCTCTTCAGATAAAATAGCATTATTAGTTTACATTTATTGAGTATTTCCTATGTATCAGGTACTTTTCTAAGTGCTTATGTGATAAATTCTTTATTGTCCTAACATCCCTTTGAAGCAGGTTCTATTATTATCCCTAGTGTGTTTATTAGGCAACTGAGGCAAAGACAAGTGAAATAATTTGCCCAGAGTCACGTGGCTAGTAAAAGCTAGGCCTGGCTCTCAGTGTCTATAAGCTCCTAGTAATGCTTTGGACAGTAGCGAATGCATAATCTATACTACAGTGTTCAATTAATGAATCATTAGAGCCACCCTCCTGACAGGCACCTGGCCTTGAACTGGGGCGGTTCACAAAAATCTCTGGGCTTTCATTGAGACAGAAATAGGAGTACTCTTTGATTTGGGTTCTTTTTTTTTTTCTTTAGCGCCATCTTCAGACTCTAACATAGCTGTGTGCAGGGTGCTGCTAGCTTTATTTCTGTAAGAATTGCTAATAATTGATCTGTTACAGGTTAATTAATGATGTGGGTTTTGGAGGTAAGTAGGTGATCTGGGTTTTAAATCTTGCCCTACACACACCGTATGTATAATTTCGAGGCATGTTATCTGCTAAGCCAAAATGGGATAATTGTTCATAATAATTTGGTGAGAATTAAATGAGATGCCGTCTGTAAAGTGTTTAATATCATACATGACACATAAAATATACTCAATATTAATTCCTATTACCAAAATATAGATGACCCAAAATTGTACTGGGAATCCACATTTTCTTGTTGTTTGAGTTACATAAGAATTTCACTCTTCCTCTAAAATGTCCAAACTACCCAAAGCAATCTACAGATTCAGTACAATCCCTATCAAAATTCCAGTGGCATTTTTGACATAAATTGAGCAAAGAATCCTAAAATTTGTGTGGAACCACAAAAGACCCTGAATAGCCAAAACAATCTTAAGAAAGAGCAACACACCTGGAGGCATCTTGCTCCCTGATTTCAGACTATATTACAGAGCTTTAGTAATCAAAGCAGCACAGTATTGGCATAAAAACAGACACATACATCAATAGTACATAATAGAGAGCCCAGAAATAAACCCACGTTTATATGGCCAATTAATTTATGACAAAGGAGCCAGGAATATACAATGGGGAAAAGACAAGCCCTTTAAAAAATGGTATTGGGAAAACTGGACCACTATCTTACATCATACATGAAAATTAACTTAAACTGGGTTAAAGACGTGAATGTAAGACTTGAAGCAATAAAACTCCTAGAAGAAAAGAGGCAGTAAGCTCCTTGACATTGGCCTTGATTTTTTTTGATTTGACACCAGAAGCAAAGGCAACAAAAGCAAAAATAAACAACTAGGGCTATATCAAACTAAAGCTTCTGCACAGCAAAGGAAATCATCAACAAAATGAAAAGGAAAGCTATAGAATAGAAAAAATATTTGCAAATCATATATCTGATAAAAAGTTAATATCTAAACTGTACAAAGAACTCATACAACTCAGTAGCAAAGAAACAGCCTGATCAAGGCAGAGGATCGGAATAGACATTTTTCAAAAGTTGACGGACTGATGGCCAACAGGTCCATGAAAAAGTACTCACCATCGCTAATCGTCAGGGAGATGCAAATCAAAACCGCAATGAAATATCACCTAACACCTGTTAGAATAACTTTTTATCAAAAAGACAGGAAATAAGTGCTGGCCAAGATGCTGAGAAAAGGGAACCTTTATGCACTGTTGCTGGGAATGTAACTTGGTATAGCCACTATGGGAAACAGTATGGAGATTCCTCAAAAAATTAAAAATAGATCCAGCAATTCTGCTCCTGGGTATTTATCTGAAGGAAATGGAAACACTAACTCGAAAAGACGTCTGCACCCCTATGTTCGTTGCAGCATTATTTATGATAGGTAAGACATGGAAGCAACCTAAGTGTTGGTCAGTGGATGAATAGATAACGAAAATGTGATATAGAAAATGTGAAGGTGGACAAAAGATACAAACTTCCAGTTATTTACTTACTTTTTTAAGGAGCCGCTTGTCTTTTTTTTTTTTTAATGCCTTTTGGTGAGGAAGATAGGCCCCGAGCTAACATCTGTTGCCAATCTTCATCTTTTTTTTTTCTCCCCAAAGCCCCAGTACTCAGTTGTATATCCTAGTTGTAGGTCCTTCTATTGTTCTCTGTGGGTCACCGCCTCAGCATGGCTTGATGAGAGGTCCTAGGTCCACGCCCAGGATCCAAACCGCTGAACCCCAGGCTGCCAAAGTGGAACACACAATCTTAATCACTACGCCACCAGGCCGGCCCCCAAACTTCCAGTTGTAAAACAAATAAATCATGGGTTGTAATGTACAACATGGTGACTATAGTCAGTAGTACTGTATTGTATATATGAAGGTTGCTAAGAGTGTAGATCTTAAAAGTTCTCATCATAAGAAGAAAAATTTGTAACTGTGTGGTGATGGTATTAACAAGACGTTTGTGGGGGCTGGCCCTGTGGCCGAGTGGTTAAGTTCGCGCGCTCCGCTGCAGGCAGCCTAGTGTTTCGTTGGTTCGAATCCTGGGCGCGGACATGGCACTGCTCATCAGACCACGCTGAGGCAGCGTCCCACGTGCCACAGCTAGAAGGACCAACAACGAAGAATATACAGCTGTGTACTGGGGGGCTTTGGGGAGAAAAAGGAAAAAAATAAAATCTTTAAACAAAACAAAACAAAAGACATTTGTGATTTCCCAGTACATACGTAATGTTGAATCATGTCATATACCTGAAATTAATATGTTATATGTCAGTTATATCTCAATAGAAGGAAAAAAAGTGGTTCAGTTTCAGGGGGTGGGGGAGAAAAGAATCTGTTTTCCCTTAGGTTTAGTATACTGCAGATAGGAAATATCAGAATGCTCAAAAGCATGAATTGGCCTTAGTTTCCCCCTTTGTAAGATGGCAATAATAGGATCTACATCAAATAGGGCTGTCGTAACCACTAAATGAATGAGTTGGTCAGTAGTTTAGAACAGTGTCCAACCCATAGTGAGTACTGTAGATATGTTTGCATTGTATGAATAACAATAACAAGTATCATTTTTCCCTCAGTCAGAGACCCTTGTGATAAACACTCAAGAAGTCTTATGCAGTATGCAGTTGGTCTATTACGTGTGTAGCCTCTACTAAAAGATTTTTGTGAACAAATGCTGGCTTAAACGTTAAGTGCCTGTATTGTGACTTAAATTGTTACTAAGTTCAAATAAATGTCCCTCTCACCTCTTGACCTCATCTCTGTGAGGGCTCTCTAACTGTGTTGGTGATGCAGTAAAGCTTGAGGTGCATAGTGCCGCTTGCCAGGATGCTAGGGGCCGCGGTGGTGAGAGTTGACACCGGTTTGCTCCTCCCAGGGCTTAGAGATGGTTGGTCTGTCTCCAGTCTTGCAACCCCTTCTGCTGTGCAGTTGCTCTTCAGCTTACTCTCGCTGCCCGGGGCTGCTGCTTGTGTTTGTTCTCGTTTCCACCTTGGCTGCTTCTACTTGCTCCCCTTTTTCTTTTCCTTTTCTTGTCGTTTCCTTCAGCTGTCCTTGTTTTCTTTCTTCTGTGGAGTATGACATCTTGAAATCATCTTCAGAGAGTAATAGCATTGAATTCTTCTGGTCTGCAGACTTAAAAACCCATCACTGATTTCACTAACGTCTTTGTCTTCTGCTCTTCCTGATGGTACTGGTGTTTTGTGGTTTCCTACTTTACTTATGGATTTAGAAGGTCTAACTGACCAGCACGTCTAGTCAGGTCTCCCTCTGACTCTACCTGCTTCCGACTTTGCAACCCACCAGTCCTCGGGGCCAGGCCCAGGTCTTAGTCCAGCCTCCATAATGGTCTCTCTTCATTCTCACTTGGCTTCCTCCAGTTCATTTTTCACAAAGCTGCTGTGCTCATCTTTGTGAACTGTAAAGCTGCTCAGTACTATACCTGCTTAAAATTCTTCAGTGACTTCTCATTATCCTGAGAATTAAAAGCTAGAGTCCTTATCAGAGCTTTCAAGTTTTTTTATCCTCTCATTCCTCTTGGGTGAGTTTGTCGTTTCTTGACTCACTCTTGCCTGTGTGCCCACTCTTGCTCCAGCCACTAGTGCTTTTCTGTTTCAAAACGAGGCCGTCTTCTCCATTCCCCTTGGATTTTTAAACATGGAGTTGTTTTTGCTTAGACTATTCCCTTGTCCAAACTGCACCGCCTCCCCCCCCACCCTCATCTCTCACACTTTAGAGTAGATGATACTTCCATTGAAAAGCCTTCATTTTCTGTAAGTTGCTTTTTCCTGTAGGATCCCATAGCATTTACTCCATTTTGTTGTTAAGTGTCTGAATGCACCCAGGTGGTAAGCTTTGGGAGGATAGGAACTATTTCATATTTTCCATACCAAGCATACCCAGCAGGCACAGTTTCTGACACATAGTGGGCACTCAGTAAGTATTTAACTTTTGAGGCTATGACATTTGAGTCCTTAGATGACTATGATTGTGTTATACAGACATTTTGTTATTGTTGCTTTGTAATAAAAACATTACTCAATGTATGAAAACTTATTCAATATATTTTATGCTTGCAAATAATATTTGCTTGTGCTCATGGAGCAAATTGATTACTAGAATTATTTAAAATATTTAAATATAATTATTTCCTTTATTTAGTTACAGCCAAGTTCTACTTCTGAATCTATGGATCAACTGCTAAACAAAAATAGAGAGGGAGAAAAATCAAGAGATTTGATCAAAGACAAAATTGAACCAAATGCTAAGGATTCTTTCATTGAAAATAGCAGCAGCAACTGCACCAGTGGCAGCAGCAAGCCCAGCAGCCCCAGCATTTCCCCTTCAATCCTCAGTAACACGGAGCACAAGAGGGGACCTGAGGTCACATCCCAAGGAGTTCAGACTTCCAGCCCAGGATGTAAACAAGAGAAAGATGATAAAGAGGAGAAGAAAGACGCAGCCGAGTGAGTAAATCTGGAATTTAGCACATCATTTTACTTATTTACCTTTTTCTTAAGGTGTCCAGGGCCTTCCAACTCAGAAATCTATCTGGACTTTTAAACTGCTTTATAAGCAGCCCTCAACTTAAAACAACTAGTCTAAACAAATAACATCTTAAGTAAAGTAGGTCATTACACCTCTTCCGTCCTCCCTCATTTTTGCACCCCATGCCAAAAAAAACCTAGGCATAATTTAGAAAAGCTGTTCTGTAAATGTACAGGGAGTTGAAACATTACTGGCTTTTGGACTCATATCTGTTGGATGCTAGTCAGTACTCACCTCCTGACTGTGCTGCTAGGACTAAGACCTGCCACCACAAGAAGAGAAAAGTATCTGGTGTCCCCACTTGGAATTCAGTGTCTTTTCCGTAGAGACAATGTTTTAGTTAATGGTTAGATTTATTAAGATAGACTTAATTCTATATGTCCAATATATTATTGACTAAATAGACTTTTGTGGACTAGCCTCAGAACCTAACCTAACTACCGTTGATTTATTTGTTCTGGGTTCCACAGAACTCAGTTACCAATGAACTTTTGGGTTGCAGCTTGTTGATAAGTTGGGGAGTTCTTATTCTTGATTCGAGGCAAAAATTTTTGTTACAGTAATGATTTTTCCCAAGATACATCATGTAGGAAACACTATCACATTAAAAAATACCACATGGGGGCTCGCCCAGTGGTGTAGTGGTTAAGTTCATGTGCTCTGCTTTGGTGGCCTGGGGTTGGCTCGTTTGGACCCCGGGTGCAGACCTATCCACTGCTTATCAAGCCATCCTGTGGCAGGCATCCCACATATAAAGTAGAGGAAGATGGGCATGGATGTTAGCTCAGGGCCAGTCTTCTTCAGCAAAAAGTGGAGGATTGGCAGCAGATGTTAGCTCAGGGCTAATCATCTTCCAAAAAAGGAGAAGAAAATAAAAAATACCACATGCTACAGAATTGGTATCTTAAGGATTGCTTTTAAGGAAGTTTTGTAAGAGGCTAATGTCTTTTCAGTTTAAATATTTGTTGATTGCCTTTGAGAGAAGCATTGTATATTACACTTTTTTAAAAAATTGTCCTTTTTTAGCCAGTCTTTTATCAGATTAAGGAGTGGGAAATATGTATATATGTTTTAATGAAGAGGATTAATGATCTTCTAGTGAAAATTGTTTAAATCTAATATATGTTTAGGGATTTTTTTTAAAAAACTATCAGATATAGAAGACTTTAGAAAAGCATAAGTTCCATGCAGATTTCACTGGCCTTGTATTTTTTTTCTGGTGTAGGCAAGTGAGGAAATCAACACTGAATCCCAATGCAAAGGAGTTCAACCCTCGTTCCTTTTCTCAGGTAAGTGTGTTTCTCTCTTTGAAGTAATCTAGTCCCTAAAAAAAATAAATTTATTGTTAGCAGAACTATTCTTATTTCCATACCTGCCGTCTGAATTCAGTTATAGTGTCTAAAACAACTTTTAAGTTCCTTTTTCTTACGTGGTCATTAATGGATATTTTTGAGCCATAGATAAGATCCTTATTTTGTCATCAATTAGATGTGATCTGGGGCAAATCTTTGAATCTTTCTGACTCAGAATTTGAAGATGACTAGGTAGGTTCTCAGGTTCATAGATAAAACTGTTGTTATTATTCTACTGAATCTGTAAGTAGATTTATTTTTTAATTTTCTGGTTTCTTAAAATCACCACTACTATTTTTAAGAGTATTGTTGATCAGGGCCGGCCCAGTGGCTCAGCAGTTAAGTGCGCACGTTCCGCTTCAACGGCCCAAGGTTCACCGGTTCGGATCCGGGTGCGGACATGGCACTGCTTGGCAAGCCATGCTGTGATAGGCATCCCACATATAAAGTAAAGGAAGATGGGCACGGATGTTAGCTCAGGGCTAATCGTCCTCAAAAAAAAAAAAAGTATTGTTGGCTCATTTGCAAAATTTTACTTTAACTGTCTACTAAAGTGTTTTTTCTTTTATTTGAAATGTGGAATTTTATTTTCCGTAAGTTTTTTTTCATTGAAAGGGACTAATTAAAAGTGAGTAAAACTTAAAAAGATGGGGAAAATCAGTCTTGAAATTGCAACAATATTTAGCTTTTCATCTTAAGATAGTTGATTTATGTTTCTGTAGCCAAAGCCTTCTACCACCCCAACTTCACCTCGTCCTCAAGCACAACCCAGCCCATCTATGGTGGGTCATCAGCAGCCAACTCCAGTTTATACTCAACCTGTTTGTTTTGCACCAAATATGATGTATCCAGTCCCAGTGAGCCCAGGCGTGCAAGTAAGTCATAGAATTTGATGTGCGTTTACCCTCCCTAGTTGTTTGTATCTGGCACCAAGCACTCTGTAGCTGTGCAGTGACTTGAGGCGGTGATAGATGGCATAATAGAAATATTTGAAGATGGCAGGTGTGCAGTGTTGCGGTGTTGTTAGTATAAGGACCTAAATCTGAGAATATCGTCCGGTGAGAAGGATGGCTTGGATTTACTATAGTTTGAGGTTTGTCCTTTCAGCTGTGGGTGTGATTTTATGTTTTGATGACTCACAGAGAATCAGGAAACCTCAGAGCTAGCCCCCCAGCAATATACAACTAAGAGAGAGTGGTAAAGTACAGTCTTATTATCTTGAGAGCCTAATCTTTCTTTTTTTTTTTCCCCCCAATTCTCTGAAGCCTTTATACCCTATACCTATGACGCCCATGCCAGTGAATCAAGCCAAGACATATAGAGCAGGTAAAGGTGAGAATAATCCTGGCTGTGTTTGCTTGTAGTCTGCATGCTGCATGAATTAAGTAACTCGGTTTATAATGAATAAATATTTGTGGTCCAGCTTTGACTTGTGATGAGGCTGTGCATTGACTTTTGATGCCCAGCAGTACGTAAGGTATTCAGAAGCATACCTTTTGTATACTTGAAATACGCACTGTTTTGTTTTTATGAACAAAAGCAAGGTAGAAGAAATGCTCATCAGTTGTGATTGTTCAGGATCCTCTTCAAAAAGAATAATTGAATTTTAAAGTTTTCATTGTTAAATTTGAAAAGAGGGTTTGCTAAATTAATTTACCAGGTTGCTGACCTTCTTATTTTATACTAACATACAATTTTATTCCCCCAAATTCCAGAATTTCTTGTTGAGCAGAGGGCAGCTTACTTCAAAAATCCTATTAGAGGGATGTTTCCTCATCTTTAAAATGAGAATGTTGTATAATCTAGTTTTTTTTTTTTGAAGATTGGCACCTGCGCTAACATCTGTTGCCAGTCTTTTTTTTTTTTCTTCTTCTTCTTCTTCTCCCCAAAGCCTCCCCAGTACATAGTTTTATATTCTAGTCGTGAGTGCCTCCGGTTGTGTTATGTGGAACACTACCTCAACATGGCCTGATGAGCGGTGCCATGTCCACTCCTAGGATCCAAACCAGCAAAACCTTGGGCCACCAAAGCGGAGTGTGCGAACTTAACCACTCGACCACAGGGCAGGCCCCTAATCAAGTTGTGTAATCTGGATTCCATACTTGTGTGATTAAAGAGCCTTCATAAAAGAAAATATTTATCTTAAAAAGAAATCTTTTAATGTTGAAAAATGCTAAAGGGACCCCCCCCCTTTTTTTTTTTTAAAGATTTTATTTTTTTCCTTTTTCTCCCCAAAGCCCCTCTGGTACATAGTTGTATATTCTTTGTTGTGGGTCCTTCTAGTTGTGGCATGTGGGACGCCGCCTCAGCGTGGCCCGATGAGCAGTGCCATGTCCGCGCCCAGGACTCGAACCAACGAAACACTGGGCCGCATGCAGCGGAGCGCGCGAACTTAACCACTCGGCCACGGGGCCAGCCCCGCCCCTTTTTTTTTAACCATCCAAGCAATTGAGAGCATTTAATTGCTGTCATTTTATTGAGAGACAATAAAAGTGCAATGATTTATATAAAAAAGGCATTCATCAGGGCCAGCCTGATGGCAAAGCAAAGTGCTCACGTTCCACTTTGGTGGCCCAGGGTTTGCTGGTTTGGATCCCAGATGCAGACATGGCACTGCTTGGCAAGCCATGCTGTGGTAGGCGTCCTACATATAAAGGAAGATGGGCACAGATGTTAGCTCAGAGCCAGTCTTCCTCAGCAAAAAAAAAGAGGAGGCTTGGCAGCAGATGTTAGGGGTAGTCTTCCTAAAAAAAAAAAAAAAAAGGCATTTATCAATGCCCAATAATTACCCTCCTGACACAAAAATTTCACTTCTTAAATTAATGAGCATTCCTTAGTGTTTGAAGTAATCATAATTTGTGGATGTTAATAATTAAAACTCTTAATGGTTTTTTCTTTGATTCGTATGATATCCTTTATCTTTGCCTTAGGACACTGGAACCTGATGAAAGAACTCTAGCTTAGATAATATAAAGTTATCTAGTTGTAGAATTAATCTTATTCTGAGGGCCTGAAAATATTCCAGAGAGAAAAATTCTTTTAGTGCCATTTTGAATGAGGTTAATATTAAGGTGTTCATATATTAATTACTGCCTGATGTTGCTATTTCAATGGTTGTTTAATGCAATGAGAACATTTTTTATATTAAAATATAAAAGATGAGTGTAGTGAAAGCAAGCACTACAGTACAGCTCTCTATGTGAGAGATGCACTTTACCTTCAGGAGGCACTGTCATTTTCATCGATGGGAGAATTACATACTCTGAGGGGGCCTCAGCCAGTTTTGTAGAGGTGTTTTTAGTAAGATAGAACAGGCACACTGCAGAGAACATGAGCTGTAAACATGTGCCATGCTAAGAAGGTGGGAGATGATTAAATATTTGCTTTGTCCATCATTCATATTCGAGGGCTATCAAGATTTTGCCGTATTTACTTCGTGTGCTTTGTTTCTTTGCTGAAGTATTTAAAACAAATCCCAGACATCATACCATTTCATTCCTACATACTTAGTGTATATCTTTTATAAGTTATAGACGTTTTTCTTAGGTAGCCAGAGTGCTGTTATCATACTTTATAAAATAAACAGTAATTCCTTTTTATCATTTAATATCCATTATGATCAGGTTACGCTGGCTGAGTCAAGAATATATTTTTACAGTTGGTTTGTTTTGAATATGGATCAAAATAACATCTACACATTATTGAGTTTATTACATGTCTTTGTGGTTCCCTTGCTATTGCTTTGTGGCAGAAACCGGTTGTTACGTAGTATGTCCTACATTCTGGATTTGTCTCTTTACTTCGTGTGCTGTCATTGATTACATTCAGGTTTAACTGTTTTTGTGGGGAGAGGTAAGAAGACTTAATAGATGGTTGTGAGTGCTCTCTATTGTCGTTCAGGAGGGGCACAATATCTGGTCCTACTTTGAGTTATGATAAGATTGATTAAGGGGGGTGCCAGCCCGGTGGTGCAGCAGTTAAGTTTGCATGTTCCACTTCTTGGCGGCCCGTGGTTCGCCGGTTCGGATCCCGGGTGAGGACATGGCACCACTTGGCATGCCATGCTGTGGTAGGCATCCCACGTATAAAGTAGAGGAAGATGGACACGGATATTGGCTCAGGGCCAGTCTTCCTCAGCAAAAAGAGGAGGACTGGCAGCAGATGTTAGCTCAGGGCTAATCTTCCTCAAAAAAAAAAAGATTGATTAAGGGCTCAAGTGGTGATAGCCTGATCCTCCCTCCCCAGTTATAAAGTCTTCTGTTAATCTTTCATCTAATTCACTGATGATGATGCTTAACATCATTTTCTCGTTAGGGCTGTGGTGCTCAAATTTCAGTGTGCATCAGGATCACTTGGAGAGTTTTTTAAAAACACAGATTGCTTGGCCTCATCCCCAGAGTTTCTAATTCAGTAGGCTTGGGACATAGCATGAGAATTTACATTTCTAGTGCAATTTATAAAACCAGTTCCCTAGTGATGCTCCTGGTCTGGGACCAGACTTTGAAAACCACTGCAATTAGGAGTTTAAAAATGATGATTTCTGAATTCCTAGCATTACTTCTCCATTTATTAGCTCGAATCATTCTGTAAGGGACTGTTCTTTTCAACTCGGGCTATTTGGTTATTCTGCAATAGTTTGTACAGAAAAGTTAGTATAAATGCTTACATTTAGGTGCTTAAAATTGGTTTAAGTGCCAATTTTGTTGGAGTTGGTGCCCTTGTTACTTTGAATAGTGGCCAGTGAAATTTTCTTTTTTTTGGATGTGACTCTCACCCCTCTCTTTTATTATTATTGAAAATATATGTATGTATTTTATGAATACACAGATTTTTGTATGCTTTTATGTATTTATTGTGTTTCAGACAATCAGTTATTCTTTTTGCAGCTCCCATTGTCCCATCTTTGATCAATGGCATTCTCTTCAAGTTGGTTCCTGTTTCCCTTTGGTACTACTCATTTGTTTCTGCCAGCTTCCTTTCTTCTTGCTGCAGATAAGAGGCTCATCTGTTTCTAACCCCAGACCTGGATCACTATTCCTCCAAGGAACCCTGATTCTTTTTGCTGGGAAATAGTATTTAGAAACCATTTTGTGGTAATTGGATATGCTCGTTGCTGTTGAGTTACTGCTTCTAGGCCTTTTCAGTGGACAAAACTGGGAAATATCTTTTTTTTTTTTCCCCAGAAATTCAGAAATTCATATTGATATAGTCAGTTCAAGTTAACATTACAAGATTTTTACTGACTTTTTGCTTGCATCCCTTATTCTTTTACACTGAAAATCTTGTAAAAACTAGTAACTTTATTATCTATCTTTTAACAAATTACCATAAAGCTTAGCTGCCTAAAACAACAAACATATTATCTCACACAGTTTCTGAAGGGCAAGAATCCAGGAGCGGGTGGCGGGGTGGTTCTGCCTCGAAGTCTCTTATGAAGTTGCGGACAAGATGTTGGCTAGAGCTGTAATCTGAAGGGCTGCCTGCAGCCGGAGGATCTGCCTCCAGACCCAGAGCTGCTCGCAGGCTGACCTGGCGGCTGGCTTCTCCCAAAATGAGTCTTCAGAGAGACCAACATCGCTGGAAGCCGCAGTGCATTTACAGCCTGTCCTTGGATGCGACGCATCATAAGCTCTGCCTCGCAGAGCAGACCTGCTGCGGTGCTGGAGGGCACTCCACACGGATGTGAATGCCAGGAAGCAGGATCACTGGGGCCAGCTAAGTGGCTGACTCTCTTACATTTTCCTGTAATGTGTATAAAATATTTTCAAAATATTTGTTGTCTGATTATTAGACTACAGAAAATAATTTAAGATTTCTTTGGAGCATTACTTTTCTTTTGTATCTGTTTCGCTAAGAATTCTTTAAGTGCTAGTTTTCAGAGTGAGGAGTTGGTACCCTTGTTAGTGCCAAAATACTGTCTTCTACAGCCGCTAAGTCATGTCAGTGATTTGAAAGGTGGGTTTATCTGATCAAGTTTGTTTTCATTTGTAGGGGTAGCTTTTTTATTATTTTAATTTTATTTTTCACATGCAAAATATTTGTATACTTTCAAAGTGAGAATTACATAAAAAGATCATTCAGGAAAGTCTTGCTTCTATCCCAGTTTCTTCCATTTGTATGTTCCTTCATCACCTCCATCCCAGCAGGTAGATGGTCCTTCCATCATCAGCAGGTGATCATTTAAAATTATTTTCTATTTATCCTCACAGTGTTTATTTTGCAAGTAAACATTTGTTGTTCTGCCAGTATACATTCTATTTTTTTAAATAGGTTTATTTAGATATACCATAAAATTCATCCATTTGATGGATACAGTTCATGATTTTTAGTCT